TATTTTGAAACCTCTGAAAATTACAATACTTCCTTCTTAACTTTGTTGTATTACATGTTACTTAAATCCAAAATCATGAAAAATTATGTATGCTGTGCTCTTAATTTTAAGTACATTTGGAGAGATTTGGATCCTTCTTAGGATTGTTAGCATACTTATACTTTCTTAATAGTGAAATCTGTGCCTGCACATATCTTAATTGTGAACGATCAGAAGAATTGCATTATTCAGAAAATTTCATGTGGTTAAAATATATTTAATAAGAAAAAGCTTTGGACAGTTGTCCATTACCTTTCTTTTAGTGGATAGTTTTAGATATTTTATGTTTTTGTCGCTGCTTTACAAAAGTAAATACTTTCTGAAAATTGAAAGTGCAAAATATTATACATATTTCAGGATAAAGAAGGAAATGTGGGAAATGTGGCCAGAAAATTTAATTATGACTTTGAACACTATCTTAATAAACGAACATCATAATTTTACATTAAAAATGTCATCTTGCTGATTCTACCGTGTTTAGACTATAACATATCAGGATATACATTTTCTCACTGTGACTTTATCTTGTCAGATTTGAATAATTAAACATTGGAATAGAAAATCTCTTACGTTCAGTTAAAAAAGTTTCAAAAGATCTGCTTGGTTGACCTCATTTGCATTCAGTCTTTCCCTGGAGGATTAAGTAAAGTATGCCATATTTTTCCGGATGTCATATCACATGTCCAAAATATTCTAACTTTCGCTTTTTTATTGTTTTGATTATTTCCGTTGGCTTTCTTGGGCTTATTTAGCTTATCACCACCTCATTTCTGATTTTGTCAACCCAGCTTATATGTAATAGCTGTCTGAAAATCCACATTTCAAATGCTTCTAGTCTTTTCAAGTGGTTTTCTGTCAGAGACCAACTCTACTCCACAGAGCAGGACAGAAAAGATGTAACATCTGACTATGTTCAATCTTAGGCTTATGTCGTGACTGCAGACAACCTTTTTCATTTTGAAGAATGCTGTTCGAGTTTTCTCTATCCTTGCTTTTACTTCCATGGTCACGTTCCAGCTTTCATGTAAATTAGAACCAAGATATCCTTTCAACTTTTTCTAGTGGTATTTCTTCCGGTGGTAAATTAATGGGTTGTTTGCTGACGACCATGAATTTGGTTTTTGAGGTGTGAAGCTTCAAGCCGTATTTTTCAAATACTTCTGTGACTCTGTTGATGAGGAACTGAAGGTCTTCATGCTTATTGGCAAGCAGAACTGTATCATCAGCATATCTTATATTGTTGAACCAAACACTGTTTATTTTGAGGCCAACATGGATGTTTTCCAGTGCTTCATTGAAAATCAATTCAGAGTAGATATTAAATAATAGCGGAATATAGCCCTTGTCTCACCCCTCTTCATATTTCTGCATCATCGGAGTATTTTTGACCTAGTTTCACATTTGCTACCTGATGCCAATATAGATTCTTTATAATTTGGATGTCTGTTATCTAACCCCACTTGTTTCAGGATTTGTAATCGTTTGCTGTAAACGCTATGATTGACATCTCTACAACGCTGTGCAAGAACTTGAATACTGAATAGGGCATCTCATGTACCAAGATTGTTTCTGAAGCCAAATTATGTGTTACCTAGACGCTCCTCAATTTTGTTGTATATAGTACAGTTTTGTTGTATATAGTATAGTACTGTTGCACATAGTACATAAAGGATAAATATAACAATAACATAGACTAGTATAATAATGCACCTAATAGACTATAAAAATAACTATTCAGAAGCAATGGCTGAATATAATTAAATTCCAAAGTATGAAGAATAAGGAAGACAATTTTTTTCATATAATTTTATTCAAAAGGCTAAAATACAAAAGAAAAAAAGCAAAGACAAAAGCATTAAAAATGTGAATTTGCAACAGTAAGGAAAATGATCTTGACCAAGACCAAAACCAGTTTAGTATAAAGATTAAGGCACCAGGCTAGAAACCAAGAGATTGTGAGTTAGTGAGTTTTAGTCCTGCCTTGGGCATGAAAGCAGATGGGTGACTTTGAACCAGTTATTTGGTCTTTCAGCCCAACCGGTTGTTGTGGGGGAAATAGGAAGAGAAAGGAATATTAGGTATTCCATTTTGATTTATTTACCATATAAAAATAATAAAGCTGAGCAAAAGATCTAAAGAACAAAAAACCATGTTAAGGCAGAAATCATACTGTAAGTCCACAATAAGCAGAATATATGGGGAAGATAGATACCTTCTAATTCACAAGTGTAAAGAAGGGGAGGACAATCAGATTCTGTTATTATAACAACTCAATAAAAGTAGTTTTAGCTTTCCTATGATTCCTGCCCTACTTTAATTGGTGGGAGCTGACATAGATCCAGCCCTACTAGGTAGCCATTAAGGAAGCCATACGAGTAGGATCTTGGGGATAGGAAAGTTTCAAAGCAGCGGATCTTCCACATTGGATGGCCATATCATGCCCCTTCTTACCGCACCCCACAGTATGGAAGAACTTCAGCAAGTGTTCTCTTTTCATCTGATTTGAGCAAGAAGAATATATCTGGGAAAGGCAGTTTAAGAGATACCAAGGCCCCAAGCTATATAAATAAGACTTTGCAAGTAACAACAAGCAACTTAAATTGTACTCAGAAACAGCATTTTTCAATACGGCAGTATCAAGATTGCCCAGTAAGCATAGGGCCTATTGCATTTTGGACCAGCTCAAAGGCAGCCCCATTTATAATGATAATAATCTAGTAACAGAGTGACAAGGATATGAGTGGCCATCTCCATCACTTCCTGTTTGAGATAACCCTGCAATTGATGCACCACCCAAAGCTGGCCAAATGTTCCCCTGGATACTGCTTCTAGAAAGTGAAAGCTAGGAGTTAGTAGTAGTTAGGTAGAAGAGGATCCAGAGTTAGTTTCTTGAGCAGAGAGCAGACCAGTGCCTCTTTCAAAGCCACATCTCTTTCCCTCAAATAGGTGTTGATTATCACCTGAATCCAATTTCCTTACCACCAATTGTCTCTTCTTAATTCTTCCCTAAAAAGGCTCGATAACTTTTAATAAGGCAGCTTATCTGATTTATAGAGACATACATCATTGCCCTAATTGCGATAATAGGCTCAAATTTAAGTTTGTACCCTTGTTTGGTATATTCATTTTCATTTCCATCACAGTTGACACTTCATATCAATCCCATTGGTTCTATAAATTTGAAAAGTATTTGGATCTATCAGGCACCAAATGTAAGGATGTATCTATCCATCACCAGGACATAATGAAAATGTTCCCCAAGACTAGGTGAAAGTCAGAGTGGGTCACAATAGTTTCAAACAACCCACAGTTATATGATCATGTATTCTCAAGCTACTTCTGACTTCAAACAAAGGCTAAAATTAATCAGAACTAACAATCTAGTCAAATCCATCCTCGCCCTCTCTAAATTCAAGTGCTGTAGTTCAGAAAGGGATATTGCTATTATCACTAGGAAAAAATACAATAGTTGCATGCTCAATCTGTCAATTAGGCCTAACCTCACAAATAGTTTTGCACCTGGTGACCCGTGAAACAACATTTCTCACAACAAACAAGGTCTTGCAATGCACAATTGCCTCCAACCTCACTGCTTTCAGGTTGTGACTCAGCCAGGCAGATCATATTGAGATACATTGTATTTGTGGTCCAGTCAGGTTTTGGTGATACATGTCAACATTCCCTCGTCCATAATTTAATTAATTAGTCCACAATTATTTTATTATAAACATTGGCAATCAAAATGTCAGTCTGAGCCCAAAGCACCCAGCTACCAGAATGCTTAGCTCAAAATATGAGATATGGGACCCGAAATAAATATTGTGTCCAAAATTAATCATCTCTGTTCCTCCCCACAAAAACTTGCCCTCCTCATCTGCCAACATATTGTATCCATCTGTTACTATTGTTATCCTCCCCTGTGTACATTGGTCAGGCGTTTATATATACACGGATGCTTCTGTAAAAAAAATAGGTGTCTGGTCATTCCTGTAGTTCAAGCCAAAATGGCCATGGTCAGTGCCTTAGTGACGGAAGCGGAGGGGGGGGATGTTTGCAACAGCCTAAAGTGATCAATAGAAATGCAGCTAATCCCTGGCTGCATCTGTAATTAAAAGATTGGTGAAGCATGACAGATCCTATCCATAACACAACTAAAGAGGGAAAATATTGGTACAGATTAAAGGTTGATTTAAAACTGCCGTAGGCCTGTGGGTGAGACAAAGATGTCATGAGGTTAAAAAAAAAAAAGCACATACCATGAACTGCGTTCATGCCATAGTTAATGGCAAATGTGGAAGAATCCTCGACTGATCCAGGAAAATATTAAAATAATGTAGCTATTAAAAATTGAAATGATTACACTGACACTGATGCCACGATAACCATTTTCGGTAATAAGTCTAAACAAGAATGGCACATTTACCCATATTAACATTTTACATTTTCAAGAAATATGGAAAGGGATGGGATGGACTCCCCTTGCTTACATGATTAAAATTGTTTAATGCAGATACTTCACCACAATCACATTCAGTTGTTTGCATTCTGACATCATTCCATGCAAGTTGACCCTGTTTTAGCCGAGATCTGACAGCCAGAGCAGGTGATGCACGAACATGCCTTGGAGGGAGATCATTTCAGGCATTGGGGGGGGGGGGGGGGCCCAATTACATCAACAACAGCTGAAGTCAGCATTGTACTCCTTACCGATATAAAGGTGGAACAGGTTTTATATCGAATCCAACGGCATGATTTTGGGGTTGACGGCGTGGTTAAGTTGGAAACGAGGGCAACCGTTCGCTTAAAAGGCCTGGGAAAGGATAACGGCTTCACGACGGGGGGGAGAAACCCATCTCCGGCCAGGCGAAGCGCGTCTTTGCGCAAAAAGGGGGAAACGGACGGGCGGTAGTTCGGGCCCTGAAAAAAAAAAGGGGCGACTTCTCACCCCCCTCGTCTGAAGAAGGCGAAAGAGCCCGTCCCGCTTTGCTCCGGCCGCCGTCTGGGACGAGGCTCGGCCTGGCTGTGGGCTGACGCTGGTTGGCGACGGGAGGAACACGTGAGTGAGAAGAAAAGGGGGAGCAGCACAAGGTCGGGCTGAGCAAAGGGGGTGGCGGCAGCAGCAGCGGCGGCGGCAGCAGGAGTTTCCCCGACATCTGGATGCGTGTCGGAGGCCGCGCTTAGAGGAGCAAGCAGCAGCAGCAGCAGCCAAGCGGTAGAGCTCTTCGTCTCAGCCAGCAACGGCGGCTGCAGCGGCTCCTCCTCCTCCTCCTCCTGCCGCCGCTGCTGCCGCTTCGCCGAGCCCCTCCGCCGCTTGAGTGTCAGCCCTCGCTCTCCGAGCCTTCGGTCGCTGCTGCTCCTCCTATTGACAAATACACACACAAAGGGCCGCGCCGGTCTGGAGACGCGTCTGTAGCCGCTATGGGAGACAAGAAGAGCCCCACAAGGTGAGGAGGGGAGAGCGGGGAGGCGGCGAGCGGGGAGGGAAACCGCGTAGACGGCAGGCAGGCGAAGAGAGCCTCCGCGGGGAGGCCGGTCAGGCGGCGGCGGCGGCGGGGCCGCTTCTTTTCATCAGCCTCCCCCGCTTCTTCCTCCTCCTCCTCTGCAAAAGTCTTTGGCGCCCCCCAACGTAGCAGAAGCGATGGCGGGGAGGAGGAGGAGGGGAGAGGGAGAGGGAGGAGGAGGAAGAGACGGGGTGGGAAGCGGCGGCGGCGGCGGCGGCCGAGGAGAAGCGAGGCCCTGTGGGGGGGAGCAGGGAGGGAGGGAGGGAGGGGAAGGACGGCCGCGGCGATGCCTTGTTTTGTGTCCTAAATTTCCTCCCGTTTTTCCCCGTCCTCCCCCTCCCTCCCCCCCCCCCCCCCGTTTTTTTTTTTTTTTTTTTTTTTGAGTAGGCCGAAGCGGCAGCCGAAACCGTCCTCCGACGAGGGCTATTGGGACTGCAGCGTGTGCACCTTCCGGAACAGCGCCGAGGCCTTCAAGTGCATGATGTGCGATGTGAGAAAGGGCACCTCCACCCGGTGAGTGAGCGGGCGGGCGGGCGAGAGGCCTGGCCTGACAGCCACTTCCCCGGGCAAAACAGGAGCGGGGACGGATGGGGGGCGGCGGCGGCGGCGGGGAGAACATGGCCCGAGTCTCAGGAAAGGTGGATCAGGACACGGGAGCCGGCGACTTCCACCACCATAGCAATGGGGCAGGCGTAGGGATTGCTGTCTTCTATGGCAACCTTTTGGACCTCAGGGACCACCCAACTCATACTTTTAAATCCAAAGGACCACTAATATGAATTATTTAAAAAAAAGATTATCTATCTATCTATCTATCTATCTATCTATCTATCTA